CTCTCCCCGCTCCATGAACTTTATCATACCTCTTCTTAAAGCTATGTATGGATCCTACCTTCAGTACATCACTTTCCAGATTATTCCACTTCCTGACAACTTTATGACTGAAGAAATACTTCCTAACATCCATGTAACTCATCTGAGTCTTGAGCTTCCAATTGTGACCCCTTGTTTCTGTGTCCCATTTCTGGAACATCCTGTTTCTGTCCACCTTGTCGACTCCTCTCAGTATTTTATATGTCGTTATCATATTCCCCCTATCTCTCCTGTCCTCCAGTGTCGTCAGGTAGATTTCCCTTTATTAACTTCTCGTAGGACATACCCCTGAGCTCCGGGACTAGTCTCGCTGCAAACCTTTGCACTTTCTCTAATTTCCTTACGTGCTTTGGTAGGTGTGGGTTCCAAACAGGTGCTGCATACTCCAGTATGGGCCTGACGTACACGGTGTACAGAGCCCTGAACGATTCCATACTGAGATGTCGGAATGCTATTCTTAGGTTAGCCAGACGCCCATATGCTGTAGCAGTTCTTTGGTTGATGTGCGCCTCAGGAGATGTGCTCAGTATTATACTCATCCCAAGATCCTTTTCCTTGAGTAAGGTTTGTAGTCTCTAGTCCGCCAGACTGTACTCCATCTGCTGTCTTCTTTGCCCTTCCCCATTCTTCATAACTTTGCACCTGGTGGGGTTGAACTCCAGGAGCCAGTTTCTGGACCAGGCCTTCAGCCTATCCAGATCCCTTTGTAGTCCTGCCTGGTCCTCCTCCGACTTCACATCGTCTGCAAACAGGGACATTTCTGAGTCTATTCCTCCCCTCATGTCGTTCACATATACCAGTAACAGCACCGATCCTAGGACTGACCCCAGGGTACTCCGCTCGTCACAGACGCCCACTCTGACACTTGTCGCGTACCATGACTCGCTGTGTGTGTGTGTGTGTGTGTGTGTGTGTGTGTGTGTGTGTGTGTTGGCAGGATTCGAATCCACGTTTGGAAGAAGGCACAGTTCCCTACAAGATACCTTAAACCACTCAGCCACAGATGCCTCAAAACACTAGGTAGCCTGGTTACAAGCCATGATTCTTCCTAACGCTGGGCACACCAGTGGGCTTCAGACATGATCTCCATCTATTTCATTCTCCTCCTGTATGTTCTGACGACACGAGCGATACTATATTCAGAAAAAGATGACATTCAGCATGCGTGAAGCATTGATATAGTATTGCCTGAGAGGTCAGAACATACAAGAGGAGAATGAAATAGCTTAAAACTATATCTGAGGCCCACTGATGTGCCCAGAGCTTGTAACCAGACTACCTAGCATTTAAGGTATCTGTGACTGAGTTGTTTAAGGAATACTATAAGTCTTACAACACAGAACTACTATACGCCTCACAACACAAGACTATCAAACGTCTTACAACACAGGACTACAGGACTACTACACGTCTTACAACTTTGAATGCTAAGTGGAACTCCAGTATACTACTGTATAAATTTTATGAAGATTGGCCAAAAGAAACAAAAAAAAAGAAACAATCATTTATGTGGCAACACTTTTCCAGAATATCGGAAAATTATCTGGTGTTATATGTGTCTACATAATAATTAGAAGGTTAGTTGAATTTTCCATATAGAAATTTTGTATGAAATGCATCATTTTATTTAAAAAAAATGACATTTAGAAAAAAAGTACAAAAAAGGTGAAATCAAAGAAAAACGCTGCACTAGTTTGCTAAACAATATAATTAGAATACTGTGTGTAAAAATAATTCTAAACTGTAGAGAAATTATGAAGTTATAGACGTTTGAAGTTAAAAAAAAAAACTGGTTTCCAGAAAAAATTTTAAAAATATAAACTTCAGTATCAGGGAATATTCTGACCAGCAACAGCCTGGAAGAACGTCTTATGTCTTATTTTGTACATTTCGGCTGGTCCCTCTTCAGTCGTGAGTAGTTAAATCTTCGTTTTATCAGTACGTCTAATTATTGTTCAGATCTCCTCATTAATTACTGAATACTCTTATAAAGTCGTCATTAAAAAATTAACTTGCCACGATGAAAGATATACAACAACAACAACAACAATGAAAGATATACAACAACAACAATGAAAGATATACAACAACAACAACAATGAAAGTATTAAACAACAACACAATGAAAGATATAAACAACAACAACAATGAAAGATATATAACAACAACAAACAATTGAAAGATATACAACAACAACAATGAAAGATATACAACAACAACAACAATGAAAGATATACAACAACAACAACAATGAAAGATATACAACAACAAAACAATGAAAGATATACAACTAACAACAACAATGAAGATTACAACAACAACAACAATGAAAGATATACAACATACAACAACAATGAAGATATATAACAACAACAACAATGAAAGATATCACAACAACCAACAATGAAAGATATACCAAAATATTTCACATCCTTATTAAAACTATTATTAGATATTTTTCAAGCAGAAATTCCAAGTGGTGAACCTCAGTGATGGATTCACATTGTTTTCTAAGAACGTAAACGTATACATAATCCTTACGGAGGGTAGGAAAGTATATCCTAACGAAGGGTAGAAGTATATCCTTACGGAGGGTAGAAGTAATATCCTTACGGAGGGTAGGAAGTATATCCTAACGAGGGTAGATGTAAATATCCTTACGGAGTAGATGTATACCATTTACGGAGGGTAGGAACGTAGTGAATGCCTTACTGGTGTTATGGAAGTATATACCTTACGGAGGGTAGGAAGTATGATATCCTTACGGAGGGTAGGAAGTATGATATCCTTACGGAGGGTAGGAAGTATGAGGGTTGTAGTTGACAGGAACACTGTATTTTATACGAATGTTCACTACTGAAAAATTTCGCCTACACTTCAGACCACTTCAGTCGAACAGAGGCGAATACAACACTGGAGACAGTAGAAGTGCGATCAATCCGTCACCCTTCGTAGGAGGCGGCCAGTCCCTCTGAAGGTGGTTGGTGTTGTCTGGGGCGAGGTTGTCCACTTAAAACAGAAATAAAACAAGCAACACCTAAATGTCACACTTTCTTGCTACAATAAGACAATGCAAAAAGATTATTTTTTGAAAAGATGGAATTAATGCACAAACACAAAATTACCACAAACATGGAATATAATAATGTAGCAGATACCGATGTTACACAACAGAATGAAAAGAGTGTTAAGTACTACTCCTAACCACAAATAGAATGCAGTACTGAGCACTGGAATATGAATTAGCAACACTGAAGGTACAACACTGTATGACTGACACACTGCAAGTAATTTGATATATTCAAGATTTTGATTTTGTTACTGATGCGGCAACAAAATCAAAATCCTGTGGATGGTAGAGCAAGAGCATATGGATACACAAAAAGTCTAGGAACTAGGCCCCAAAAGGGTTTACCATTCAATTAACACTATAAATCTATAAATAATAGAAGGATAAGAGGGGAGGGAGGACGGGAGATGGATGGGGAAAGGGAGGACTGGAGAAGGAAAGGAATGGAGACGGGGGATAAATGGAGGGAGGAAGGGAGGACCGCCATGGTTGGGAGGGCAGGGAGGAACGCTGCTGAGAAGCAGCGTAAAAGTCTCACTGAATTCTCTAAAGGTGTAAAAACAAGAGAAGGTCGAGGCCACGCACGTCAGGGCAGACAGCGTTATTCTTTTCTACCCGCGTTCGATTCCACCTTGTAACATCTTCCCTACCAACGTCCCAATCCTTACGTTTTTACATCTTCCCTACCAGCTTTTCAACCCTAAAGTTGCAACATCTTCGCTACTTTACACCCAATCTTTACGTCTTTTCACAGGGAAACATAACTAGCAGCTGTTCCCACTGTGTTACTATCATACACTGTAGTGTGGACTAACACGACACAATTGATATACCCATTTTGTTGAAAAAAGAAGTCAGATAACTGTTATCCTTTTGTAAGGTGATCATATTATTTGTTACAGTCTGGCAAAACAATTACTTGTTGCAGTCTGGCAGAACAATGCCTCGTGAAATGAAGTCAATGAGAGAATTAATTACTTAAGCGGAATACGAGATATGAGAGCGGATGATGTAATGTGTGAGGTATGACGCTGTCTAGATCATGTGGTATGTGGGAGGTGTGAAGCTTCTGTCCTGATGATGTGGTATGTAGTATGTGATAAGTGGGTGTGAGGCTTGTCTTGATCATGTGGTATGTTGGGAGATGTAAAGAGGTCACTGCTGATCCATGCTTCACCTCGAGGTTCTGCTTCACCTCCAGGTGCTGCTGCGTCTTAGGTCTTGCTTCACCCCAGGTGCTGCTGCGTCTCGGGTCTTGAATCACCCCAGGTGCTGCTGCGTCTCAGGTCTTGCTTCACCCCGGGTGCTGCTGCATCTCAGGTCTTGCTTCACCCCAGGTGCTGCTGCATCTCAGGTCTTGCTTCACCCCAGGTGCTGCTGCATCTCAGGTCTTGCTTCACCCCAGGTGCTGCTGCATCTCAGGTCTTGCTTCACCCCAGGTGCTGCTGCATCTCAGGTCTTGCTTCACCCCAGGTGCAGCTCCACCAGTATCACAAATAATACGTCCTCAGATATTCCCATTATTGCAACAAACGAAGCATTAAGCTACAATATTTCTTGCCAGCGTCACACTGCCTTTTGCCTTCATAATAAAACTGTATCTGTCGCTCATTCCCTGCTTACACTTTTCACTATTTTTAATTCAACCGAATAAATATCTGTGCACACTCTCAGCTTGTAATTTATGCAAAGGGAATGTAGCGAAAGAGAGAGGTTGGACTAGCCATATTTGTATGAGTGTGATGGCAGCAAATTCTGGTAGAGAGCAGCAACCCACTTCGCGCGCCCGGGAGTTCCCCTCTTGCACACCGCAGACAAATAGAGGCAAAAAAAAAAAAAAAAAACGGAGCGTCGTGAGCACGGCTGCAGCGCCTGAGTTTCACTCTTGTCGCTGGAACTGTGGAGTTCACTCTCGCAAGAGACGTTGCTCTCTCTACACGACCTGCTGGTGCTCCTGTAAAGGTCTATCATGTACCACAGTGTCTGACGCCGATGCTAACTCCGTACGACTTGGTGTTCCCGTCGAGGTCTCTCTTATTCCCGTAGTATGCTGGAAAAGCTGCTCTTTCCATACTTCCTACGGGTGTTCCTGTCGAAATCTATCTCCTCGTATAGTGTGCTAAAGACACTATCTCCAAACGTTTTGGTGGAGTTCGCGTCGAGGTCTATCTCCAACTTTAGCATTTGGAGACGCTGCCTCGTTACTGAATTCTGTTGGCTTTCCCGTTGAGAACTGTTCAATTCCCTATCGTCTTGGCATCTTCAACAAGATTACCGTGAAACGCGTTGTTGTTGAATCAAGCGTAGCTAGTGTGCAGCTCAGCCTGACGCCAAGGTACGTTGTCTCTTCTTCTCTAAGAATCATCTGTACTGTGTCAACATTTTCTTATTCCTTTGTATATTTTACGTTTCTCTTTTCCACAGATTTGTGGAGTTTACCATTCAACCTTGAATGGCAGAGGATTTATAAGCACTGACAAAGTGTTTTTTATTAATGTGCAGGAGACCAGATTCATGCATCCACAGCTTAAACACACACACACACACACACACACACACACACACACACACACACACACACACACACACACACACACACACACACACACACATGCACACACACACACACACACACACACACACACATACACACACACGTGGTATGCAAGGTGAGAGAGACAACAAAAACGCGGCGCTGGATGCTAAGGGCAGTGCAATATACGAGTATCTTCGTAACTATCAGTTCAAGTGCACTGTGCAGTGTATGTCTGCCATCTTGATACAGGATAAACAGATCAACATATTCATCCAGAAATAATGTAAATAACAAGATGAGCGGTTTTCTATGTTTTGAAGTACACTGATCTTTATGTAAATCCTTGTCTTATTGTTCACTTCTACTCTAACAAATCTCTCTCCAACCCTTCAATACTCTCTGCCTCCCTCTGAGCCACCTTTCATGCCTCCCTCTGAGCCACCTTTCATGCCTCCTCTGAGCCACCTTTCATGCCTGCCTCTGAGCCACCTTTCATGCCTGCCTCTGAGCCATCTATCATGCCTGCCTCTGAGCCATCTATCATGCCTGCCTCTGAGCCACCTTTCATGCCTGCCTCTGAGCCATCTATCATGCCTGCCTCTGAGCCATCTTTCATGCCTGCCTCTGAGCCACCTTTCATGCCTGCCTCTGAGCCACTTCATGCCTGCCTCTGAGCCACCTTTCATGCCTGCCTCTGAGCCACTTTCACTCGAGCACTGCCTCCTCTGAGCCACCTTTCATGCCTGCCTCTGAGCCACCTTTCATGCCTGCCTCTGAGCCACCTTTCATGCCTCCTCTGAGCCACCTTTCATGCCTCCCTCTGAGCCACCTTTCATGCCTCCCTCTGAGCCATCTTCATGCCTGCCTCTGAGCCACTTTCATGCCTGCCTCTGAGCCATCTATTCATGCCTCCTCTGAGCCCCTTTACATGCCTGCCCTCTGAGCCACCTTTCATGCCTCCCTCTGAGCCATCTTTCATGCCTGCCCTCTGAGCCATCTTTCATGCCTCCTCTGAGCCATCTTTCATGCCTCCCTCTGAGCCACCTTTCATGCCTCCCTCTGAGCCATCTTTCATGCCTCCCTCTGAGCCACCTTTCATGCCTCCCTCTGAGCCATCTTTCATGCCTGCCTCTGAGCACACCTTTCATGCCTGCCTCTGAGCCACCTTCATGCCTGCCTCTGAGCCACCTTTCATGCCTGCCTCTGAGCCACCTTTCATGCCTGCCTCTGAGCCACCTTTCATGCCTGCCTCTGAGCCACCTTTCATGCCTGCCTCTGAGCCACCTTTCATGCCTGCCTCTGAGCCACTTTCATGCCTGCCTCTGAGCCACCTTTCATGCCTGCCTCTGAGCCACTTTCATGCCTGCCTCTGAGCCACCTTTCATGCCTGCCTCTGAGCCACCTTTCATGCCTCCCTGAGCCATCTTTCATGCCTGCCTCTGAGCCACCTTTCATGCCTGCCTCTGAGCCACCTTTCATGCCTGCCTCTGAGCCATCTTTCATGCCTGCCTCTGAGCCACCTTTCATGCCTGCCTCTGAGCCACCTTTCATGCCTGCCTCTGAGCCACCTTTCATGCCTGCCTCTGAGCCACCTTTCATGCCTGCCTCTGAGCCACCTTTCATGCTCCTCTGAAGCCATCTGTTCATGCCTGCCTCTGTGCCACCTTTCATCGCCTGCATCTGAGCCACCTTTCATGCACTGCCTCTGAGCCACCTTTCATGCCTGCTATCCTGACGCCCCCCTATTCAGCACTCTCTGACATTATATGCCTGCTTGAGCCACCATTCTCATGCCTGTTGAGCCCTTCATGCCTCCCTCTCACCTTCATGCCTCTCCTCTCCACCTCATCTCCTCTAACAACTTTCTCCCTCTTCTGAACTTCTCCTCTCTAGCCCTCCATGCTGCTAGGTTCAAACCACCCATCAAACTGATTAAGAAAAGCATTGACATCCATTTTCCTTGATGTAGCTCTCCAGGACATGGTCTGTGATGCACCCATCCTACGCTGCCTTGCCTCTCTCACTCTCCTTCATCTCTCTCTCTAACAATGCTCTCTCTCTCTGCTCCTCTGACATCCTCCATGCTCGGTTTCACCAGTAGTGCGTGTGATAAACATAAATCGCTGAGAGCTTCAGGACATGGCTGTGATGATCATAATATCGCTTTTCGTGATTTCTGTATCAGTGACTGGTTAGTGTTGCTAACAGTAAAGTGGGCGTGGTGTAGTGTAACATAAGTGGGCGTGGGTTTGTAACATAAAGGCGTGGGTATAAGGAAGTGGCTGGTGGTGTAAACAGTAAAGTGGGCGTTGGTGTGTAACAGTGAATAGGGGTGTATGAACCAAAGTGGTTGGTGTGTGTAACAGTAAGGTGGGCGTGGTGTATACAGTAAAGTGGGCGTGTGATTAACAGTAAGTGGGGTGGTGTGGTAACAGTGAAGTGGGCGTGGTGTGTTAACAGTAAATTTGGGCGTGGTGTGTGTGTGCGTAACAGTGAATAGGGCGTGGTGTATGTAACAGCAAAGTGGGCTTGGTGTGTGTAACAGTAAGGTGGGCGTGGTGTAACAGTGAATAGGGCGTGGTGTATGTAACAGTGAAGTGAGCGTGGTGTGTGTAACAGTAACAGTAAAGTGGGCGTGGTGTGTGTGTGTAACAGTGAATAGGGCGTGGTGTGTGTAACAGTAAAGGGGGCGTGGTGTATGTAACAGTAAAGTGGGCGTGGTGTATGTAACAGTAAAGTGAGCGTGGCGTGTGTGTGTGTGTGTGTAACAGTAAAGTGGACGTGGTGTATGTAACAGTAAAGTGGGCGTGGCGTGTGTGTGTGTGTGTGTGTGTGTAACAGTAAGTGGGACGTGGTGTATGTAACAGTAAAGTGGGCGTGCGTGTGTGTGTGTGTGTAACAGTAATAGGGCGTGGTGTTGTAACAGTAAAGATGGTGTGGTGTATGTAACAGTAAAGTGGCATGGTGTTGTAACAGTAAAGTGGGCGTGGCGTGTGTGTGTGTGTGTAACAGTAAAGTGGACGTGGTGTATGTACAGTAAAGTGGGCGTGGTGTGTGTAACAGTAAAGTGGACGTGGTGTATGTAACAGTAAAGTGGGCGTGGCGTGTGTGTGTGTGTAACAGTAAAGTGGACGTGGTGTATGTAACAGTAAAGTGGGCGTGGTGTGTGTGTGTGTATGTAACAGTAAAGATGATGTGGTGTTACAGTAAAGGGGGCGCGGTGTAACAGTAAAAGGGCGTGGTGTAACAGTAAAGATGGCGTGGTGTTGGTATCATGCACACGGATGTGTCAGGCAGACTTGCCACGCCAGGCTCACGAACAAAGTCTTATGGAACGGGTAGTAAGTCTTGCAAAACCCACACCAGGTATTTAAGCCGGGATGTAGGAAGACCAGCAAGACCATTAAGCCCAAGACCATCAAGACCATCAAGACCATCAAGACCATCAAGACCGTCAAGACCCATGGTCCCCAACTCAAACTTGACAACCTTTCTCATACGGTTGAATTATATCACTTGGCACACAGCGTCTACCTGCGCCTTCCTACCACCTGCAACTCCCTACCACTTGCCACTTACCACCTACTACCTTCCCATTGCCACTTACCCCGTATCTACTATTTACCAATTACTACCTACTACCTATCACTTGCCACTTACCACCTACTACCTATTACTTGCCACTTATCACCTACTACCTTCCACTTGCCACTTACCACCTACAACTTGCAACTTTCCTACTACCTGCCAGTAGCCACTTACCACCTATCTTTCCCCTGCCACTTACCACGTGTTACCTACCACTTGCCACTTACCACCTATCTACTATTTGCCAATTACTACCTACTACCTATGCCTTGCCACCTACTACCTATCACTTGCCACTTACCACCTACTACCTGTCACTTGCCACTTACCACCTACTACCTATCACTTGCCACTACCACCTACTACCTATCATTTGCCACTTAATACCTATCATTTGTCACTACCACCTACTATCACTTGCCACTTACCACCTACTACTTGCAACTTACCTACTAGCTGACAGTAGCCACTTACCACCTATGTTTTCCTTGCCACTTACCACCTGTTACCTACCACTTGCCACTTACTACTTCCCATTTACCGCCTACGACCTACCACTTGTAAAATTATTTATTGCATAAAAATATAAGGACGCGAACATTCAGAATTCACCTATGTTTGTATTTTATTTTTCTACGTTTATGATGGGTGGGTGACGGGGGGTGTGAGACGTGGGTCAGGGGTGGGTTATGGGTGGGTCAGGGGTGGGCGATGGGTGGGTCAGGGTGGGCAGGAGGGTTGTACAAGGCTCGGGGAACTCCCGGGCGTCTGAGTACACCAGCTTTCCTGCTGGTGATACCTCGCAAAAACTGGTCCTCCTGAAGACCACTCCCTCCTCCTCCACCTTGTCCTCCCTCTCCCCCTCCTCCTCCACCTCCTTCCTCCTCCTTCCCCTCCTCCTCCTCCTCCTCCTCCTCTTCCTCTCCCTCCAAGAACGTATTACCTCATGTTCTTTTATTACAGTTTTAGTCATACATATTTTTGCAGTCAGTAAAAGCTACTCAACTCTTCCCTTGCACGACATAGTAACTATAACCTTGAATCTACTGTAAATCTATAATTTTATGGCCAAAGAGGAAGACTAAGAGTCACAGGACCGTGACTGACTCATAACAAACCCTCAAAGTGGAGTTAAGGACAATGTTTCGCCCAGTCGTGGACTATTATCAGTGAGGAAATAAAGACTGAGTAATACTTTTGTTTACCCACGT